GGCCGGCCTCCCCCGGCCCCCCCGAGCCGCAGCGCTCCCGCTTGGGCTCGGGGGACCTGGGGGCGGGGGTTTCCGCGCCTCCCCGGAGCCGCAGCACTTCTGCGCGGGCTCGGGGGACCCGGGGGCGGGGCTTGCCACCACACAGGCTGCCGGAGCAGCGCTCCGGCACGCTCCGGCCCCAAAAGACCCCTGTGTGCCAGGCTCATTTTTTAAAAGATCAGCCACATTCTAAAGAAATGAGTTGTTTAAATGTTGTGTAAGTTCAAAGAAATTAGCAGATGTAGATGAGCCATTTCAGTGATAAAAGTTTGGTTCTCTCTTTGTGCACTGGGGGATCTTTTTGGGTCAGAACATGGGATCCAATGCTGTAGGATGAACAGATCTTTCCTGCACTGCCCACCAGTGAGATGAGGTTGCACACTTGGGAGGTTATGGCTAGGCAATCCAGCTGCACTGCATGCTTTTTGGCTTCCATAGAGACACCGTACAGTGCAGCTTGCAGACCGCGCACATCCGTAGGTCTCCACACAGTTACGCAGAACACTTATATCACTTTAGGCCTCGCCGGAGTATAACCAGATGAAACTGGAACATGAGGGGCCGAGCAGAAATTGAATTAATAAAAACCGTACAGATTTGTATCTGTTCTGTATGTTAGTGAGATGCTGAGGTTTCACAGAGATCTCTAGTTTGCCCCCCCACACACACACACACTCACTGCAGTTCACAGAGTTCCTTGGGAAGGTCTCTGTCTTAAGTCAGTAGTGGAGACAGGCCCATTGACTGATTGCGTCTTAAGTCCCTTAACTATTGCTAGCATCCCGTTTGCAGAAGGAAATGAAACTTCCCAGGGATATTGTGTTCCAGATTGGTTTTATCATCTTCACAAGCGCAGCAGTCTTTAAGCAGAGCAACTGTTTTTCCCTTAGGAATGCATAGAATGTGATTTTTTTTAAAAAACCCTCTGGTTCACTTTGCACTGAGTCCTTGTTACCGATCTTGAAAAACTGAAGCTCAGTATCGGGGCAGATTTCTGATTCTGCGCAGTCAACGCTAAAAGTGTCTGCAAACACATTTTTTAAAAGTAGCCGGTATATGTATTGCTTAAGTCAGGGAGGTACCCCCTCTTTACTTTCTGTCCTAGAATAAGCCTGTATGTCGGTCACGCCAAGAATTTCTTTCATCAAATATTTGGAATATTGAACGTCGTAGTATTCATACTCTGGGGCATAGAAAGAGGGGACCCAGCCAATATAAACAACCTCTGTGTGTTAACAGGTGAAATAACATTTTTAAGACACTCTCCATCTCTCTTCCTCTCTGCCAGGGGTCGTTTCGTAGAAAAAGAGCTAGGGGAACTCATTAGCATAACTCATTAGCATATGCCACACCCCCTGACATCACCGGAAGTGTGTCATAAGGCCACACACACCGCCCCCAACGGTCCCGGCTGCCGCCGGCCTTGCAGGTCCACTGCCGAGACCCATGAGGGGCCCGGCGGTGGACCTGCATGTCTGGCGGGAGTGCAAGGAAGCCCCGCGAAGGCCCTCCCTGGCCCCAGGCAGGCAGGGGTGGGGAGAGGCAGGGAGGAAGCAACTTACCCTCCCTCTTCTCCTGCCTCCTCCTGGCTGAATGAGGGCCGGAAGTGGGGCGGCCGGAAGCAGGGGGCGGGGCTTCATCATGTGCCCCTACCTCACCTGGGGGAACTGCGATCCCCCGCGATCCCCCCTGAAATGACCTCTGCTCTCTGCCCTTCGAAGTAGGAACTGACCATATACACTATTCGTTAGAGTGGGCCTATATGAAACAGTTGCATTCTTTCCCAGTGTTATCCCTTCAAGTTAGGGTTGCCAGATCCTGGTTGGGAAATAACTGGGAATTGTAGGGGTGGAGCCTGAGGAAGGTGGCGTTTCGGGAGGGGTTTCAATAGGGTATAAGCGTCATGGAGTCCGCTTTCCAAAGCAGCCATTTTCTCCAGGGGGACAGATCTCCAGGCCCCACCTGGAGGTTGGTAACCCTGCTTATATTTCCCGGTTCTAACCCACTACATTCCATTAGCAGCACAGGGCTGAGTCTGGAAAACTGCCTTCCGAAGAAGTCCTGAGCTAGGAAGCAGGAACTGGCTGGTGCAATCGGTGTGGGGATGCAAATTTATATCTTTTTTTTTTTTAAGAAATAGTAGGAGATTCAACAACCACAGCTTTATAGCGGGTGTACAGCAGGCAAGTAAACTCTCTCCCCCCCCATGAGTGGAGGGCATGAGAATCAGGCTCTGTGCCCACGTCCTGTGACATTCCCCCCCCCCACACCCCTCACTGGGAAATGAGTCTCCGTTTCCATGTCAAGCACCTGATTGGCAGTGCCTCTCGACAGGGCTCCCTGGGGGTCCCATCCTTGCCTGGAACAAATCTGGAAGCGTCAGCAAGAACTTGGCAGATTATATAATCTAGCATGCCGAATGCTCTTGTGGCTGCCAAGTCTTGTCGTTGATGATAAAGCGCACTTGAAAACCCGCCTCCGAACACCTGTCCCCCCCACCCCGTGAAGAGCTGCCAACTGCCTCTGTGTCCATGTCTCCATCGACAAAATCCTGGCAGCAGGTATTCAGCCTAGCAGGATGCATTCGACTTCGGGGGGGATCTCATTTCCTGTTAGAATAACCCTGCTTTTTGTGTGCCCATCCCCTGAAATGTGTCTTCGAGGTGGGATCGGCAGTCATCCATTACGGCTGCAGTAACAAGAGCTTTCTTAATTGCAACTGAATTATTTTGGCAAGGGCAGTCGTAATCCTTGTTCCATAAAGAAAGGAGAAGGGGGGGGGAACCAAAGAAAAACAGAATGCTGTACATTTGAAACCGTGGTTTTTGTTTGATTACAGTGGACTCTGCCAGTCCAAGTTTGTTTCCATAAGCATAGTTTCTAGGGTAGAATAGTGCATAAGCAGCGGGGCTGAGGAACAGGGTCAGGCTGCAGGTAAAAGGTTGCCTCTGCCGTTGACAGGGTAGGTGGCTTTACGCAAGCTGTCCTCCAGCAAGCTGATCCTCCCTGCCTGCAGCAAGGGA